GGGGGGAGGAGGGAGGAAGGGGAAAGGGGAGGCTAATGGTAGATAGGTAATTATTTGTAGTTTGTAAAAGGATTTCGTAGCTAATTTAATAATAAATTGTATTGTTTTATTTAAAGGGTTCGGTTTTTTATTGAGATTATTATAAAGGTAGTTTAGTATTCGAAAGGTATTTATTATAGCAGCGTGGTAAATTCGAGTAGTTGAGTTGAGTAGTGGTACCTACTTAACTTAACTCGAGTAGTCAAAATCACTAATCAACTTAACTCGCCAAGTACTCGATTAACTCATAAGTAACTTAAGTAGTGTAGGCCCGATGCCCCGTAGCGTGCTCGGGCTCGCTGGCCGACTCCAGACAAGCGGTCTGCCTACGTATACTTAGCTAAGTACCCCCGCCTTGGGAGTCGGGGCTAATAAATAATCTAGACTACTCGCGTCTCCCCCTCCCCTTACCTATATACAACTTGTTACTTGTATAGGCAGGGTATAAGCCTACAATATAACCCTCTTAGCTAATTAAATTGTCCGATTGATATAGAGGTATATTAGAAAGTAACTAAGAAAGGGGGAAGGGGGGAAACCTAAGCTAGCTAGACCCTTTTATTGTTAATCTATATAACAGGGACAGGGTCTTTTAGTCACGTTTTATATAATTACCTAAGTATTACTTAAATAGTCAAATCTACTACTCAACTCAACTCAACTCAACGGAATCACCTAATCATACTCATTCAACTTAACTCGAGTACTACTCGAGTCGGGTTGAGTATTTGATTAGAAGTGTTACCACGCTGTTTATATAGAGAAAAGCTTATTAAAGTCAAAAGCAGACACAATTACTCTACTAAGGAGTATACGTCTTCCCGGCCCCTTATTTATATAGAAGGGATAATAATTATTATAGTCTTCCTTTATAGTGTTTTAAGTTACTCTTAGTGTAAAATTATAGAGTTTCCGAGGGGGTTTCACTTTTATAGATTTAATGGATTCTTTTAAATTAGTATAAAAAGTCAGACTTAGGGATATCTTATAAATTTATTGAATTATTAGTAAGAGAACTTCTTTTCGTTTTTTTAACTTCAGATGTGAGCTAAGAGGGGTAGCGTAGAGAAAACTAAGATTGTTTTAAAAGACAGGAACGTTAAATACTATCTCTAAAGTAATTGTTATATTCCTTAATTATAGGAGTTTTTACCTATCAACAAGTGGTACCCATAGCTCTAGGAGTACGGAGATCAGGTTTTGAGAATTGATAATCTACTTTGAATTATATTTGGATCCATAAAGATAAAGTACTTCCGTTCCACATCGACCGATAGTTACTTTAACCTAGGTTTTTTTGCTGTTATGTTAGGCTTAGCTATGTGTTAATTAAGATCGAGGTGGTGTGTTTACGTACCAGAAGGTGATTTTGTGTCATCTTCAGAGTCCCCATTCTCAGACTCGCTCTCAGACCCGCTCTCAGATTCAGTATCATTCCTGCGCTCTTTTGAATCGGATCCCTGATCACTGTCGTCTTCATCAAAGCCATATTCATCGGAATCGCCATCACTAGGGTCGCCTCCGTCAGATTCGCCAATGGAAGGATCTGTATCAGTATCAATAGTATCAATTTCAATATCAGCGGCATCGAGCCCTGTTCTGATTTCTCCTTCAGGATCCCGATTTCGAAGAAAGGAAATAAGCTCGGCTATCCTTTTCAAAGCATTATCCACGCGTGGAACCCAGTCCTCTGGACACTCAAGTACCTCCCCACTAAATGTTACGCTATACGTTTCATTGATACTGAAACTTTTGAGCCCATTTCTTATCTGAAGCACCTTTTTCTCAATAGTCTCAATTCGCCGAAGCTTCGTCAAGTTATTGATGTTTTCCCTGAACCATATGATGTAGCACAGGGCGACCTGCTCCGCGAACCAAGAACACCTCTGGCTCTCGAAAATCCCTGTCAATACTTCATGGCTCATATATTTTGCTGTAGAATCTTCAATGTCAAATCGTTTCAGTCCTGAGTCGAGAGATTGAAGCTCTTGACTGCTAGGTAGAGATTGCACGGCATCTGAAGTCCGAAGTTTTTTACTCCACAAGAGCATGCGACAGAATCCCTGAATTTAGAGTCAGACTTGCAAAATATCGAAAAAAAACAAAAAAAACATAAACCTGGGGTGGCGGGGAACCTACCAGGCCCACCAGAATATCTCTGCGGAAGGCCGTAAAGTCAGTATTGTCTCCTCAAACCATTACATAAGGAGGAAAGCAAAGGAGAATCTGGAGGCAACTGGATTATGAGGATGGTCAATTTGTGGTGAAAACTTACTCGATAACGAGTTCACCTTTCAATTTGGGTGGGTCTCTGAAAAACTTCTCATAATCGCCAAAGGTCTCCAGCCGACATTCCCGCATATACTCATGCATCCCCATATTCCATCCAAGGAGATTTGTGCGCCGCTCCGAGAAAATCGATCCCTGGCTGCGTTCCAATTCGAGTAATACTTGAACGGCACGCTGGTGGGATTGCCGGGCTTGATTAACTGCTGCTATAAGAGCAGCTCTTTCTGATCTCTCCATCTTTTTCCAGGAAGAATAATTCTTTTTCAGTATGGTGCTTCTGGATTGCCTCATTAGCTCCCGGTTTTCCCCTATTGACATGTTAGCACACACTCTTTCTTGACGAGTGAAATAAATGAATTACAGAATTCATCCTCGGTGGTCTGCTGACTCGCCAATGCCCTAACAAACTGCTCTGTATCTCTCTCTTCCGGTGTCAAGGTCGAAGGGTCTTTACGGTGTGGTAGAATCTTTTCCACAACATCATTCAGAAATTGATGGGGCAAAGAGGAATCTCTTTGGATTTTGTTCAAGTCAGCTTTGTCATCCGTTATTGTACACTTCACGCCTTGTTTGATGGTCCCAAGATAAAGTGCCCTTCCCCCAAGAGCGGCCAATTTTGCTTGCTAGGTTACACATCAACACAAGAACTTTTGACACTTTGATAGAAGAAGTACCCAGAATTCTTCAACTTGTAGCCCCGATCCAGCGGAAATTCAGCTACACCCTCGTATTTAGATGTGACTACATACCTTCATAAAAGTAAACTTGCAACGGATACAGCCTGTATGTATCGGACATTTTGGGGTCAGTGAGGTACCACGGTTTGATATAAAGGTCGTATTGGGTAGGCCAAGGTTCACGAAGCCAAAAGCCTTGGGGGTTTTCAACACATGTTAGCTGGCGCTTAAGTATTCTCTAAGATTACGTTCGTTCCCCTTGGACTATAAGCGAGGATCATTATTGGGAAGATGTTACCTAAATGCACCGCATGCGGCCAACGGCTGTCCCAGTGATCAACTGGTGATGGAACCCCCCCATAAATCTAAAATCAATCAAAACCGTTAGCATTCCAAAGAAACGCGTTTGAGTGGTATTAGCTCACTGCAAACTCCCCTGCACAGCCCAACTCATTGATTTCTACAAATCTTATGTTAGCGGCCAAATATAGACGGATCAAATTAAAACAGTACGTTGTTGATCAAAAAAGGGCTCTAAATCTCTCATTTGGAATGATTTTCGCATTGTTTGACCTGTCTCTATGGCGTGCTAGTTTCACCATCAGCTCCGTTAGAATATGGGAAAAGTCTACTCACCGTCACCTCATGGGTCATAACTTTCGCTACAGAAAACTCCATCCTCTGTCTTTCAGAGTCATTCAGATCTGGCCGTAGAAGAGGTAATACCATCGCAGTCGCTATTAAGGGTATCAGCAACTTGATAGCACTACGAAGACGGAAGTCCTTTCATGCTTGAAAGTACAGTATAATTCTTTGTTTGTGACTTACAAGCGAATAGGCATAAAGCTACACCCCCTTGTTCCTTTACCGCAACATAAGCACCAGTCCTGTTAGCGGGTTCTAGCTGCCCACCAATAAAGTCTCGTCCCATTTGATAGAAAGCCAAGGTGAAATCGCATTCCTCAATCATATACTTGAAAATTCCTTCTACAAGAATGATTCAGTACTTCTTCACCTCTTCCAGAAAAATTTTGAACGAAGAGGAGAGCAAGAGAAACAAGGACAAGGAACGGAAATAAAGCCCAAAGGAAAAACAAATTATAGCGCCAGTCTAGTTAGATGAGAATGATGTTCTAGGATAGGAAGAGCTATTTCTTACTTAGCCTCTTTTGGTTTTCGGCAATTTGCTTTTCTCCAAAGGATTTCCTAGGCAGGATTTGGCTGACATTATATGCCTCGTAATATTCTTGATACTCCCCAGTTTTCAATTCTTCAGGCAGACGACTTGGGTCTATTGGCAATCGCTCGCTATTCAGGATCGCATCAAACTAGCGCACGGTTAAAGTACCAACAAGGAGTCGATGGAGAAAGCATACAAAAGGCAAGTAACACAGATGACTAATCATGCGAGAAGCCAGACGCAATACCGGGTGCATCATATTGCGGACGATAGGATTTGCCATGCTCCAATCTCCAACCAGAGGACATTCGTCTTATAGGCGACAATAACCGGTTTGGGAGGGTATCTTGTCAAAATCTAGGTCCCATCGATCGTCTCTGAAGATAGGGTGGATTCCATTCGTTAGATTTGGCGTTTTCATTCGCCTGTTGGGGAATACATCAAGATCGTAGAAATCCCTAGCGAAAATTCGAGATTAATTGGAGATCATCATCAAGGCGATAAGCGGTGAACTTATGTTGGGAATATTCATATCTCGTTGTGAAGCCGTGAGTTAACTTCTTTTGCTTGGCTGTAAGTTCCAGATTCTCTTTTAATGACTTCAGTCTGTCTTCTACTTCCCATTCCTCCATATCTCGTTCACCGAAAATCCATCGAGCGTGGTAGGGGTCAAGGATTTCCGTCAAAAACGCTGCCCCTTCATACTTTCCCTTCCAGACGGAGCCCATTGTCGTTTTCTGTGAGTCCGGTACACAGTTAGAATTCTTCTGGATAGTCTCGTAACAAAAATTGGAGATGCTATCGTGACGCCTACAACGAAAGGGAATTCCGCTTTGTTGTGCGTCGACATCTTGTCTTTGTTCGATGGTCGCCACTTGACGTGAACGGTTATTGTTGTATTGCTAACAACAATCGCCAACAATTAAATAAAATGGCGATTGACTGAGATACTCTCTAATTTGCCAAAAAAAGTTCGTGATACCCCTGAAATCATACTATCGCAAATAATCGTAAGACATGTGTCTCTCATGCCCTTATCTATCAAGGGGCATCGCGGTCATTTGCTGAGAATCCAAAGATGCTCAACCTTCTTTCAATGCACCGATTATTTGAGGAAGAAGTAATTAAAAGTTTCTGATACCCTGCTAACTAGAAGTACCTAGCCTCTAAGGACATACACGATGATGTCGACAATCCGTAATCATCCACTACACCCCAAGGGAACAACCATTATCCAGGTCATCTAGAACCACCAAATCGGGTTCTCACTCGGTAACCTTTGCTATCTCACCACCATAATCCTCTCCGTCCCACACAGCCTCAACAACACTCATTCTACATCCCTCAACTCTCCTAACACCCCCGAACCTAAATCCCTCCACACTCTCAAACAACTTCTCATACTGGCCTTCACTTCTCTCCGTCGCATTGAGCAACGTCAGCATCACCAAATCCATAGTCCGAATAATCTTCTCATCCCAAAATGTCTCCTTTCCGAATCCATCTCTTAGGCAATGATCATTAATCAGAACCTTGGCACCCTTCTTCATTGCCGGAATCAAACTCTTCAAGATCTTCGCAGCATACTTGTCAGAATGATTATGAAAGATCCAGCGGAAGAAATAGACATCAGCGTCCTTTACGGGTTGAGTGGTGAAGAAGTCATGCGATTGGTATTTGATTCTTGAAGCGAGGGGCTCTTTGAGTTTCGGTGCTGAGTCGATTGTCTTTTGGAGGTCTTGAACTATGAATTTTAGGTTGGGGTAGTGTTCTGCGAGCGCGCGACAAACGAAGCCGTGAGAACCGCCTAGGTCGACGATTGTGGCATGGTGTTCATTGAGCGATGCCCAATTGTAGTTCTTGAGGAGGTAGGAGATTTCATAGCCTTCGCCACCGGTGAGAGATGTCATGGCTCCGCCCATTCGCTTTGCTCGGAGTGGGTCTTTGCCAAATGTTACGAACATTGGCTCAATATTAGTGGTGCCATTTGCGGCTTGGAAACCAGCTTGTGTTGGCTCAGAGGCAGAGGGATGTTCAGTGAGGGCTGAGATGACTTTTGAGGCGGCCTATGATTATCAAACAAGTCAGTTTGCAATGCTTAAGAAAAGGTTACTCGGTACCATTATGCCCGATGTGGTCCCCAAAAAGGGGTTGAGTGAGAAAGTGATACCGAGATATCGGTTGCCAATTGATCGCAGTCTTACTTACAGGGAAGATATCGTCGGTAGTGAAGCCAACCCAATCACCCATAGCATCATCCTCAGCCAGAACCCTACTTGCAGCTGTATGTGCCACAACGTCAGGATTGACCTCTCGGAAGATTCGGTTCGTCATTGCATGCCGCATGAATCGACGAACGTTCACCTCATCCAATCCGACCTTCTCGGCAATCTCAGCATATGTAGCTGTCTCATGGATTGGGAATGCTTTCGCTATATAAAATTAGTGTTTTGTAGTACAAAAAGAGTATCCTTCTTACCAATCTTGTAATGGTTTATTGCTTGAAGTGAAAGCTGGTCGTTGAACTGGACGGAAGATCAGTAAATGTCACAAATCCCATAGCTTGATCTATTGAACTTACGTTCCAAGCCATCCACCGAATACTTTCTTTTGGTCCGGTAACCAAGTCACCCAATTCCTTCGTAGCTCTAACGACATTTTCTCTAGCCTTCTTGATTTCCTCTGGCAAGTTGGGAAAGGCAAGAGGGACGTCAACGTCAAAAGATGGTGCCGCACTTCCACTTTCCTTCATGTATCTCTCCAATTTCTCTGTCTCTTCCGTGATTGTCTTAGCGAGATCGATCAAACTTGCTCTTGGAGGAACGGTTGTTGGGGTGGTAACGCGAACTTCTTGAGTTGGGATGTTGGTTGCAGGTTGGGCGGACGCGACTTCCGAGGTGGTAGAAATAGCTCGACTTTGTCGCTTGCCGGCGAGATTCTTAGTTGCAGTTGAATTTCTTCTTGTGACCAAGCTGAGACGCTTGCGTAACTTGGTAAGAGGATCCATGTTCGCGACCTTTGCAAGACGTGGTGTTGTGTTGGTATGAAGGGAATTGGCGTAAGCGAAGTTGGAGATAACTACCCTCTTCATAATCGCACTAGGATATCCCTACTGACGACCGTTTAAAGCAGGTCTCTCTACTCCAAGTGAAGCTAAGTTGTAGCTAATTCTTTCCCAAGATTCCTCCTCTTTCTCACATGTGACACCTTTTTCTCACTTCACCATCCTCTTCCCTGAGTCCTCACCAAAAACAAGCCGCTGAGTAGTAAGGCTATCGCGCCCCGGTAGGCCAATGATCCAGTTGCGATATTGAATCAAATAAACTCCAAAAGTCAAAGATGGTATCTTTACACGTGACTTTGAAACTGAAAAAGGCACACAAAATTATCCAGGCTGCTCCACAAACACGACAAAAATACCACGAGTGAATTCTGCAAAACGAACAATTCGAAACGCAACAAAAAGAACGAATAAAGCGCAGAAATCCAAACCTTCGGGTCGATGTACCAACCCCTTGGTCCACGACCTCACGACAAAATATAAATCCATACCCCACTAGCAGCCCACCCTAGTCCATCAGATCCCAGCCACAAGAACCAGAATAGGCAACGTCTCCGGTACAAAGATCCTCACGGAATCAGAATTGGGAAACCGAAGGCGGAATGGATGCCAATTGAGATGAGTCCTTTGCAATCTCGTCTCCTGCCGCACCCAAACCGGAGGCATCAGATCAGATAACAACGGGACGCGGCTTGCCGACCCGTCACGGACGCGGGAGACCGCTTGATGATGTGATGGAGATTTGACAACACGTTTTCTTTCTCCTTCGGGGTTGCATGGTTCGTTGTCAAATTCCCACCTCCAACACGGGGTTTCCCCGCTGTATTAATCGGATCGTGGTGGGGGGGTGCGTTTGGGTGGCTGGGAGTTTTTTCCCAGTCGGAGAGGCTCAGTCTTGACTGTCGAATTGGCATCAGAAGATGTAGAAAAATGAGCCGCACTCTCCGTCAGCGGCAAAGAGACAGCTCGCTAATAAAAGACAAATCAGTCAACAACCGGACATTACAACAAGAAGTTTCATGCCTATTTACTCGGTAATAACCAACCCCACTCTCAGGCGATAAAAAAAGAGACCACCTTAAAAATTCTTTTTCATCACAACATAAAAAAAGAAAAAAGGGGAGAGAAAATGACGAATCGCACAAAACTTACCAATCCTGACTAACGAGTCATTAACAAAACATCATGCAGTCAAACCCTGCTTTTTTCCAACATATTCCTTCCATCATTGACCAACCACCATCGAAGTCATTGCATCATGTTGTAACACTCTGCTCAACTATGAAGTATTTCGAGAGCACAAAGTACTACCACACGCACACATGACACATAAGATACTGAATGTGGCTGGTATATATCATGAACTGAACGCGAAGGCGGGGTATCGGAACATCTATTCTCCCATCTAGATTTAGCCTCTGCACGACTCTTGTTGCTGAGAGTCCAATATCCAAGCCATCCCAACCTTTAAGTCCGTCTACGCAGGTTTCTGCCCACAAATAACATGTAAAGGCATCCAATAATGCGGACCACCCATCTCATACGCCTTCCTCACACCTACGAGATAGACATCCACCTGATCTCTACTCCAGCCCAAACCTCTTGTCAACGGCCCCATGGCAATCGGTTGTAACCCATCTATCAGAATCCTCTGCCAATATAATCCAACACTCTTCAAGACCTTGTTCCTTGGCCATTGCCCAATAGGCACATGGAATAGTGTAGTGCTAACATTCACAAATCCCGCCTCGCGCATCATTTTTTCGAGAAGAAGTGTGGCGTTGAAATCGACGCCCAAATTTGAGAGAGCCTCGATGACGAAGCTCCAGTACTGTGCTACGAGGTTGTCGGCAGGTATGCTGTTATCGGAGCTGTAAGGATAGTGATGGACTTCTTGGAGTTCGAACCAGCCGCCGGGCTTTACATGACTAGAACCACTTTGTTAGTTTTAATGATACAGACGAGAATACGTTTGCTCACTCGAAAACATTCTTCATTAATTTTGGCCAATCTTTAATCGCCATTACTGTATGTCGGGCATGAACGTAATCGTAATAATTCTCTGGTTTTAACCACGTATCTTCCACATCATCTACCATAAATTGTACATTGGGAGGAACCCATTCAGATTGTATTCTGCAATGACAAGTGTTAGTAGAGATCCGCTTGAGAATTGAAACTGCCCAAGAATGCAAAATCTAAACACAACTTGCAGAAACTGAACCTCGAAAGTCCGAGAAAATGGCGTTGTGGAATTGGAATGGAATATGCTTACGGACTTAAGTCAACACCAAGAACGTTTGAACTCGGATACAAATCACCCACTGGAAAAAGTAATCAGTATCACTGCCACGTTTATGGCAGCTAAGAGCTTACTTTCAATGGCCCAGACACCTGTACCAGTACCCATATCAAGAATATTATTTGGATTTGGGCCAATTGGCGCAAAATGATGTCTCTGGCATAAGTTCATTACCATGGTATGTTTCATCACCTCTCTTTCCTGCTCGCTATCTTCATTTGGAAAGTTGTACGCCCCTTCCCTAAATCGGTGATATCTGTGGCCATTCTCAAAAGCGTAATCTCTGATCGACGAAGCTATGGAAGTGCTGGCAGACCACAAGGAATCCGTTTCGTAGCCTGCATCTGACTGTCCATCGATCCCAGAATCAACATCAATCTCTTGTTGTGCCTGCTGCACAGCATCGCTGTTCTCAATATCTTGTGCTGCTTGTTCTTCTGGAGATAGTTCGGAGAATGGTTTGGAGGGGTTCAGCGCTTGTGTGGAGAGAACGGAAATGGCAGAATCGCTAGGTGACGCTGTTGGCCGCATATTTCGAGATGACCAACAGGAGGTCTTTCATCTATTACAGTAGTCTCAAGACTAGTAATTTTGAGTCTGCCGAGGTCGCAAGATCAAGGCTCGACGTTGTGCTTGAAGCTGGGGAATGTTTCTCGTCTATCCGAGGTACGTTGCGCAGAGTCCGGTTAAAGCTGTGGTGCTACTGATGGTGGCATGAAAATGTGCAACGCTGCCTGCCACAAGAGTTGAAGAGGGAAATATAGGGTCTATAAAGGAGAAGTGGCAGCTTGAGAGAGAGAATTGGGGAGGTTGTTTCTGTATGTGTTGGGTCAGTTTATCGTGACAACCAAAAACATGCAGTTTCCCGACGCTACACCGAATTAGTACCTAGGAGAAGTTCTTCTCCAGGTCTCATCACTAAAAAGGTGGAGCAACTACTCCAGCTTGGTTGGATAAGGAGCCAGGGTGGCGGCCGTTGGCGCTCAAGCGGATGCACTAAATCAGCCTTCAATGGCTTCATGTTCGACCAGATCATGATTCGAAATTGCTTTTTCTCGTGGGTGGTCTTGTGAGATTTCCAGTAACAATCTCCACCAGCATGAGAGCCATTCTCAGCTCAAAGTGTTTGATGACGTAACGAGTTTTCATCTTGCTTATATCAGGCGCTTTTCCCAGATCAGGGGTTTTCTTCCAAGTTCTCCAGTCCAATGTACCCCCACGTTCAGGGGTTGAAACTTCGAATCGAGTCTCCTCTTTTGGCAATAGGAAGTGGAGATGGCCGATATGGTTTGCAGCAAGAGAATAAGTACTGTATTTTCATGGGCAAGCCCTGTTGTAAATGTAGACTTCATGTCTTTACGAAACCGCTTGATTTGACGGTGTGGCAGTAGGAATGTCCTACTGCGTTCAAGTTCAACAATATCTGGTAATGGGGGCTGCCCGAGCTGCAATTGCCCATTGTAGTGTACCTACACATCGATATAACCAGTCATAGTTTCAGCCATTGTATCGTCACCAACCCATTGGAAGTGTGTGCCAAAACATGTTCGCGCACACAGTATATTCGTACATGACGCTTGAAGAAGAAATTGAAGGAAGGCTCGATGTTGCTTTGGGATCGAAGGGTATAAAGATGCAAGAGAGGGACGGCTCGAGGGACGAACACTAGGCGAGATTCAAGATGATATCCTGCTTTGGGGTTAGATTTCTTCCCTAGATAATATCTCCAAGGGAGAACTCACCAGTACTCTCCCATATGCACTACCTTATGACCATTCCACAAAGGTGAGACTTGACGCCAATCGCAGCAGCATATGAGAGAAAGAACCTTTCTTCAGTTGAGGTAGCAGATTATGTACTGCATGTGCTATTTTGTTGCTTGTTGATAATGATTGAATCTGACATCGTTGGAGGGGAAAGTAATAAGGTTCCGCCTAGAAGGGTCGGCCCTTTGCCGGCTGAACTTTAGCCTGCTGCCCCAGAACCTCCAAACACCACCAGCACTTGTCACTTCTATCATTAACTCTCTACACAACAAATATACACTCCAACTTAATTCTGTGGATTGTTGAATCGCTTGTGCTTTTGGCTCCAAATAGAAGCTAACCGAAGCCCCTATTCCTGAGCGAACAACGCTTGAGCAACCAGATGTCCAGTCCTTGAAGGACAGCAGCAATGGGGTAAATGCCCAGCAAACACCCATCAGAAATTGAAGTCTGGATAAGCTTTCCCGAAGCCATTCATGATTCATGAAACTTTCTCCACTCGGCCGAAGAAGTTACGCCAATGATTGATCCTAGAAAATCCCACAAGCTGAGGCTATTCAAGCCTTTTCTGGATTCTTCAGAACAGGAGAAACAGTTCCATTCACAAGTCATCAACAACCCCACGATTTTGTTTGTGGGGCACGACGATGTTGCCGGGTACATGGCGCCCTTCAATATAAATATCAAAATCGCGGGGTGATCCACACAATGCGCCTGAAAATGCGGGGAACCGAGCAAGCTGATTGCCTCAATCCCTTTGGACCCATGGGCTTTTATTCCTGTTCTCCAATCAGAGACGGTGGATAATGTTTTATTTCTGGTAATGGCCCTAATGGGCTCATGAATGCGGGGTAAATGTGGGCAAATGTGAGTACCGGCAACTTGATTAGAAGCTACAACAGCCTTGATGACATTTTTGTCTATATTCAACATTCCAGTCTTATCATTATATTTTCTCTCTGGAGTTGGTGTTGTACAAGCTCAGAGATCTCGATTCTGGGATGACATTCTTCATATTGAACGCAAAACGCCCTTCAAAATGACTAACTTGACGAATGAGGGCCCAAGTAGCCACCAGAAAGAAGACGAAGGGGTGGAAATTTCGATGACAGAAGATGTTGGGGAGAAGACGGTTGCCGTAGGACCAATTCTTGTTAGAGTTGATTCGTATCGAGATGAGCGACATATATATTTGACATGGAGATCTTGGGTTGTAGTTTTGTGAGTTACGGTTTTCAGTTGGATTGTGTCTTGTGAACTCAAGCTAATCGAAATTCTCCTTCAAATTAGTATCAGTTGTTTTGCGTAAGTCTTCCATCTCTTCCTCCCAGGACATATCGTTTGGAAACATCATAAGTCTTACGCTGAGGGTATCCGTGCTGTAACTTTCAAAGAATCATGGCCCAGGTTTACGTTGTGGTTGCCGCAGGCTCTGTCATTGGATTCATAACAAGAGACCTAGAACATCCCGAGATCTCGGGTTGGGTTATTCAGGTATTCTACACTGGCTTCTTCTCAATATTGATTGTACTGATTCCAAAACAGGGGCCGCTCTTAATGCAAAGCGTCCTTTCTCCCCTCGTTGGTCGACTTTCGGATGTCATGGACAGGAAATGGCTTGCAATATGTCCCACCATTCTCTCTCTCGTAGGAGCGATTGTCTCTGCCAGAGCTGAGAGTATGAGTGTATTGGTTGGTGGTGGAATACTTGTTGGTTGCACACTTGCCACGAGTGCGATTGTACAGGCGATAACCTCTGAAGTCCTGCCACTGAAGTACAGGGCAATAGCAAACGGTTTCGCAGGTTTAGGTGGGAGTCTGGGGGGCATGTATGTCTTTCTCCGTCTTTTGATTCCACACATTTTTGGCCATTACGTAACTGATTTTCAATAGAACCGCGAGTCTTAGCGCTGGAGCTGCTACTAGTAGTGGAACATCAGGGTGGAGAACTATATTCTGGATTCAAGCCGGATTCTTTGCTGTCACCATTCTGGGGCTCTTGTTTTTCTACCATCCCAAAAAGAAGACTGAGGTTAAAAGATTGTCTTGGAGGAATATTTTCTGGGCTTGTGATCCAATTGGTTCTCTCTTGTTTATCGTTAGTGCTACCTTGATGCTTTTGGCGTTGGATTGGGTCGGAGGTGTATATGAATGGCATGATAAGCATGTTATTGCACCCTTGACGATTGGTCTTGTTTGCTTGCTTCTATTTGTCATTTATGGTAAGCCGTTTGTTTGCTGTATCTTTTGTGTTAGTGTAGAAGAATTTATTTAAGCTAACTTACAACTTCAGAGTGGAAGGGAAGAAATGATGGACTTGTTGCGCACGTCTTTTTCAAAGGCGGTCCAAACTTTGGACTGGCAGTCTTCGCATTCGCGATAGAAGGGTACGGTGCCCCCTCTACTTAACAACTACATATCTTCTATCTATTGACACGATATAGTTGGATTTTCTACAGTGCTGTGAACAGTATCACACCCCTAGTTGTCCTCAACCTCGGATTTGAGTCTACGGCATGGAGAATCTCGGTCAGACAACTCTCATTCCAAGGTGTTGTCCTCTTCATGCCAATTCCAATAATGCTCTACGCAACCTGGAAAAAAGATCTGAAGACCCCCGTCTTCATCACCTTTGTGCTTTTCTTGGTAGTGTAAGTGTTCTACCTCCGCACGCATTCCAAACTAATAATTCAAGAACAATCTGCTATGCGAACATCACACCTTCCATGAATAATGCCCAGATAGGCTTCAACATCATTGGTAAGCAGCACCGAGTCAATCCCTATTTCACCATCTTATACACCTACCTAACACAACCCTAGCCGCCATCGGCCAAGCAGGCCCTCTCACCCTCCTCCCAGCCCTCGTCCAGTTCACTTCCCCCCATGCCTACCTCTCTACCGCAACCGGTCTGGCATTCTCCGCCCGCGCTCTTGGCGGCGCCTTCGGTTCCGCAGTCCTCAACACAATCATCAACAGCAAGATCACCAAATCCTACGCGAGCACCGTCTCCTGCGTCGCCATTGAAGCCGGACTCCCCTCAAGTTCCATCCCAGAGCTTCTCGAGGCTTTCGAAAATGGAGAGGGCTTTGAGAATGTATCGGGGATTAGTCCGCAGATTTTGGGGGTGGCGACGGTGGCTAGTCGAAGTGTTTATGCTAGTGCGTATAGGCTGGCTTGGAGTAGTATTATACCGTTTGTGGTGCTTGCGCTGGTTGCGGTGGGGTTCTTGAAGGGGGTTAGGGAGTTGATGACGGAGCATGTGGAGGCTACTGTTGAGAGGGTTGGGGAGAAGGAGGGAGAGGCTGAGGCATGAATGATAGGGGAATGACCTGGGGTAGATGATTTGGCTGTCTTGGTTGTCTGGATCCAATATTGTTGGTGCTATCGAAGTCTGAGTTGGAGAGGTGATGATTACCTGCTATACACACACTATAAAGAATTTAGGTTATACTAAGGGTTCAGCACAAAAAGCTAAATGTTTTAGTATGCCTAAATAAAATCAACAAGTCATGGTTCTTCCAACCATTTATATGTATATCAGGTAGTTATGCGAGGCTTTTTGAATAATACTGCTCTAAGCTAGGTGCGTCCGGAGTAATGCTCAGGTCTTTCAATACAAGAATCGAATAGCTTCTATCTGCGAGAAACAATCTCGATTAAAGAACATATTCCACCCATGCCTCTTACCCTGTTTCTGGTATCACTACTAAATGACCGAATAGAAAGGTCATCAGGACAGAACGGAATACCACACCGAGTCAAAGAGATATAGACTGTTTCCAAGAAAGTCGTCAATTCACCGAAAAGCCGTCGAGGGATACAGAGACCCGGCTTTTCACTCCTTGAGATCACGTTCGTGATGGTTCTGGTGGTAGGAATGGCTGTCATTGGTATTGGTAGGAACCAGTATAGACGATGGGAATCTTTCCTTCCCCCGTGATCCGATCTCGACTAGGCAGGCACAAAGTCTATATGACGGAAAGGGGAGGAGGGGGACAGTGTGGTACTCGAAGGCAAATGTTCCGTACATTACCTAGGTAATGGAATCCAAGCTTTTGAGGTCTATAGGGGATGAAAAGGAAGGAGCGACTTTAAAATTCGTAGTCGACTGACGACCTAGACTTGCAGAAATGGAATTATGGAGGAAGGAGCGACACCAGCAACCTACTCCGGCCTCAGCCTTTTCCTTGAACCTGCCTAATACAACCTAGTGGGTCGCAGACACTTTCAAGTAAGTACCTACGTACAGTACCTACTAGGCACCTTCTCATTACGATAGGAACGCTTACCTGCAATTTGTGTTCACGCATTAGGGTCTGGTGGGGGTGCTTATGATGAGGTTGAGAAGGAAGGTGCGACTTCTCGGAAAGCTTGAACTCCTGAACTTGCCTTATATGAATTCTACATTATTGCTTTGACGTACCTTACAACTATCTACCCACAGGTCAAGCATACCACTGAATATATAATCACTTCATTTTACTTCGCCTTTGCACATCCGAGCACCTCCACGGGGGAAACACTTCTCTGTACAAAAGGGAAGTGATTAGGTTTGCGTGCAGATTTCCTATTACTTTTAAGGCATTACCATCTAATTCTTTTCCCTTTTTCGGGCTACTTGTTACCGAAAGTTTACAGCAAGAAAGGGTGCCTCAGAGTCACTATCCCCAAACCCACGTCTGTGGCTCTCTATAAGTAATTTCCAATATCTAGATGCAATTCCATGTCGCTGGCTTTCCACATAAGTGTTTAAGTCGGTGTTAATTCTATATTCCATTATTCATATATGCGTAGTCGTTCTGATTAGAAAGTAATCCAAAGCGTCCAACCCAAAAACTGAATAGTGGATACCCTTAGCGATGTTCAAATCGTCTTATTTCGTGACCGAGAAAAATCAAGTTTAGGTTCCCAGAAGGCAATATGTCGCTGAATGAGCGACAGAAAAGAGCGTGCTATACTGTTCTATGCTTCGGACTTCCTTCAAAGCCAGTGCAAAGCGATATCTACCTTACCTTAATATGTGCTTTCACAAGCCAGTCTGACCGACATCGTGCGTCCATGATAGGGTATGAAGCTCGAGTGGAATGAATAAGCAGGATCTACCACATGCTTATGTATTGTGCATAGACTATTTGATATCTAGGACTTAGCTAGATACTCTCCACTCCTGAGTAGACTCTTGATATCAAGAACTTTGCGGACCACTTTGTATTTTTCTAGTGGGGTTATGTCTGCCGGTTTTCGGGGCAATTTTAGATACTCTGCAAGGTAGCTTCAGTTGATTCTTCTTCTTTTGCTAGCGTCAGATAGGTAGAGGCGGTCATGTCTATACTCGTATTAGAGGACGGGTAAGTTTAAAGTGTAGTCGATATCATAGTCAAGGTTTAGATATATTTCTAAAGGAAGTATCTCTTTAACGAATTCTTCATATAAATTATTACTAAGATATAGTAGGCTTAGTCAGCGTCCGGCAACTGGAATTCTATTCCATACCAGACCCCCCCTAATAGAATATACCATGCTATTTGTACTAATCTCTGGAATATAGGGTGGTTTAATTCCATGGCATTCCATGGAACAAAATCACATAATCCTGAGTAAAGTTTCCCTGTCTGAAGACTAACATAAATCCTCTTTTGCTAATACTTAGGTTTACGTAGGAGGTAGAGGATATATTATTTAGGTTAAACAGCCACTGGGGTACTTATAAGGCTATTTATACCTTAACAAGTAGAGCCTAGGCTACTAAGCGCTTAATTAAGGCCTATCTTACTATCTAAATCTAGTAGCTAGCTTAGAGATAGTAGAGGGTTAATAAGAAACTACTTTTTACAAGCTTATAATAATAATTAGTAGATTTATTATTGTTATAGACAAGTAATCGAATAGATTAAACAATATATATAAGCTTACTTAGTTACCCTCGATATATAAAACATATATTTTACTAATACTTAGGTTTACGTAGGAAGTAAAGGATATATTATTTAGGTTAAATAGCCCCTAGGGTACTTATAAGGCTATTTATACCTTAATAAGTAGAGCCTAGGCTACTAGATAAAGCCTATACCTAAATAAGATAACTTAATTACTTTAGATAGTTATTATATATACATCTAATTAATAATATCGTTTTATAAGTCCTAGATATTAGTACTATTATTCTAACTCTCTGGAATAATTTAACTAGTTTAGTTATATAATATATAAGTTAACTACTTTATAAGCTTTAAATTATATAAGATTAGTTATAAGATAGGTTTACTGTAACGAATACTCAAACTGGCTAACTAAACTTGGCTGGGTGTTCGCTGGTTGGTATGCTATGATAAGAAGAAGACTATCGGGTTGTTCACTTGGAAGTGAACTCGTTACTTGTATCAAAGATGTCAAACTAATATGATAAGATTGATAACTAAGTTGAGCACGAAGCTCCTATCTAATGGCAGAAGTGCCAGTCTTATATAGAACCTTCGTTCTACTGGATCCCTCCTGGATCCATCGGGGTCCATCACGTGACAACAACCAAATGAAATCCATGGATCGCTTAGCTGGCCTAAGCAATCCCTATTTGCTA